CGGTTGCTTGCTGAATGATGACTCTCTCACTCTCTCTCTCCTTCTCTCTCTCTCTCTCTCTCTCTCTCTCTCTCTCTCTCTCTCTCTCTCTCTCTCTCTCTCTCTCTCTCCCACACGCACACACCCACACACCCAAAAAATCACACTCTCACACACACACACTCATACACACACATACACACACTCATAAAAAACACGCTCACATATACATTCACTCACAATCTTTCATACACGCCAACAAACACGTACATTTTAACATAATATAAAACGATGCGAACTAGGTAGAGATTAATCTTTAACACAATGACCCCACCCCCACCCCCACCCCGGCCCAATCCCTGCCCGGTCTCCAACAAATTAAAGAGTGTGACAACTTCCCAATTCCCCCCTCCCACACACACACAAGTCAACGCACATTTAACACACCCACACGCATACACACAAATCCCTATTAGTCCATTAAACCAACGTTAACAACACGACTCCATAAATCAACATAATCGTCTCCTAAGTGACAGTCTATGTTCTCAAAGAGAATCAGATGACCATGCACTCTTCCTTTGCTTTCTACAAGCGCAGTAATAATCAGTGTTCCCTTACGTTAGCCATAAGTCCTGCGAAAGACAATATCGAATGGTGCCCTTTACAGACCGTAAGCCTTTAACTACTAGACTCAGACTACGAGGGGCCCGACGAACGAACACGCTTATGCGACTGCTCGGTGTACTATTAGACTGCAGATCGATATTAGGAATTGATTACTCAGATCAGTTGATCTGATACCATAGCCGGATCAGAGGCGATTGATTTTTAGTTTGGTACCGTACGGGTTTAACGCCTCTTTTAACTGACGGGTCGCGCTAGGGTAGTCGCAGACATAATATGTTGTTGTTGCTGTTGTTGTTGTTGTCGTCGTCGTTGCTGTTGTTGTTGTTGCTGTTATTGTTGTTGTTTTTGTTGTTGTTATTGTTGTTGTTGTTGTTTTTTGTTGTTGTTATTAAAAGTTTTGATGACGAAGCTGCTGTCAACTTTGGTATTGTTGTAGTAGTTGCTGTTACTTTTGTTTTTGTTGTCGTTGTTGTTTTGCTGTTATTGTTGTTTATTTTGTTTTTGTTGTTGTTGTTGTTGTTATTGTTGTTGTTGTTGTTGTTGTTGCCGTTACTGTCGATATTAACGTTTACGTTATTGTAATGGTTGTGGGTTTTTTCCTGCTGCTATTACTGTAGACGTTTTTATTTCTTTTTTGTTTATTTTTTCTTCTTTGTAATAGTCGTTGTTTTTACTGTTTCTACTGTTGTTGTTGTTGCTGATTTTGTTATTGTTGCTGTCGTTGTTACTAACTAACTGTCAATGCTGTTGTTTTGTTTACGGCGAGTCAGCAAGGCAACTTGCAGCCTCTTTTCAGAAGGGACAGATTCGATAGCTATGAAGGAAAGATCGGAACAAAGTACAAGACACAGCCAGCCAAAAACCTGATACGTGTAGATGCACTTCTTTTGCACAGTGAGCTTAATACTCGGCTGGAATTAGTCTGTAATCAATTAAGCGTCAAACTCTGTGAGTGTAACTCTGTATTCCGTAAGTGAGTAGGTGAAGCGTATTGGCAAGCAAAAGAAGGCGACTGACAGTAAAGTTTGATTATCTTTATGAAATGAATTTATTTTGGATGCGTGTTACGCAAAGAAAAGCAGCAAATCAGCATTTGCGGACAATTATTGCAAACGAAAAACGAAAGGTGGCTGGGGTCAAAGGTTGTAAACGGGTCAAATTGCGATCTGTTGAAATGTTCTAAGCTAAAAAAAAAAAAAGGGCGAAAAGTTTACGACAGAGAAAAAAACAAAAACAAAAGAACTATTTAATTCTTTGAACAATCGTACCTACCTTTTCTTTGTTTTCTTGCTTTTTCCAAAATTTAGAATGTGAGTTTTGGGGGAAATAGCTCTTCACTATTAACTGCTGTGTGTTCAGAATAATACTTATCTTGACTTTTGTGGATGCAGAAACCTGTGTTACTTTTCAAATTAGTCATGAAAATTTTGCTTATTTGGTGTAAATAGATGCTTGATACTGCTGCTGCTGCTGATGCTCTAAATAAAAACCTGTATTACCCAGCTCTTTCTCCTTCACCTATACGACCGAACTCCCTTAGTGTGTTGTTCTTGGTTCACTCCTACTCTGTTTGCCTTCTACTTCTAGATTTCCTGTGAGAGAAAGATGTTCAAGGCCTTTATATCGATTTAATTGCCCCAGAAACTGCATTTGTGAGACATCGTAGTAAAATCAGGCGCTCGTCAAAAGAATGAAATCCAAGGAATAGGCATTTTTTACCGCCAGTTTGTCAATTTTTATATAATTATTTGGTTTTTTGACTCAACACCTTTTATGTCCATACAAAAACATATTTCCATGTAAATTTGACAGGAAAACATGGATTAAAGGCTCAAGATATGTAAATTTTCAGTTTAATAGGACTCTCAAGCTATTGAAATTACCCCAAATTGGCGGCCATTTTTTCTCTTATTTTACCTCTGAAACCAAGACACCCCACCTCCTTCAATTGCAATTATCTCAACTTCTATTCAAGATGGGTGAGTATTTTTTTTTCATCAAAAGCAAGGCAAATTAATAAGCCTTCAGATGATACTAATAAATCCACATGCTAGAAAATTGACGTGCGCCAGATTCCACCGCGTCGTGACACATTTGTCTCAAGTCAATCTTTTAAAAATACGAGTGCGTTCCTTACGCACTGTTATCAGTAATCTTACAGTTTATCCCATAAAGCGCTAAAACCGTATTAAACTTAAGGTATAATTATAATTTTTTGCATAGAGTTAAGGTATGCAGAAGGGTAAATATAATATTTGCTTGATAATTCATCATCTCCAGATTTTTGCCTTTACTCACTGACTGACCCTTCCACTATGGCCAGAAAAACTCCAAACCATTATTCAGGTGCAAGTTTTGGGCTTCTGTTATCAGAACTATTTTGTATACATCTGCAATGCTCAGCAGAATAATTCGAATTCAAAGTTCCTCGTACCCGCACATATCAATCGATGCATTTGTACTAAAACAAAATGCTTGCCAATTCTTTGAGTGAAATTTGAATCGTAGTGCGCATTGCAAATGATACGGTGTATTATCTTTGCTTTTGTCGATATCTGGGACAGCTCGGGAACCGAAACAGATAATTAGAGATCCTTTGTTGGGGTGTGGAACGATAAAGGTGGCTTGGGGCTGCAACTCAATGCCCACAACGGGGAGGTTGAATGTTCGTGGTGGACAGCGACGTACAGTTGAATTTGCTCTAACGGCAACCTGTATAAGACAATCATCTGTATAAATTAATGTCCATTTCCCATTTCCTCAGTTGTGTGTTTTTTTTATATTACAATGACACTGTGTAAGATGATCACCTGTCTAAGATGGTCACTTTTCTCATTGTATTTGGTGGTCGTCTTAGACAGTTTCACTTGAACGAACTGAACAAAATTGTAATGTTCCGAGTGCTGGGGATAGTTATAGCATAAAGAACAAGAGGTGTCAATCTCTACTTTTGATCAAAATTGACCTGTCACTACCACAAAATAGAGCTCTGTCATGTAATCTCTCCCCAAAAGCTAATCCTTATGCATTTCTGAAAACAGAAGATCATAACTTTTTTTCTAGAAAAAAACAAACAAACAAAAATTACAACTTCGGTCTTATAAGACCTCATTGTTTTGAAAGAGGACTTGACCTTGTGTCCCGTAAAAAGTAATGAATGACTGTATTTACTGAAATGATAACAAGTTCGAAACGTTAAACTACTGGCGGTTAATGGCTTTGGGTATCGGACACGATGGAAGGCGTGACAAATAGGCTAAAATCTCAAAGTCATTACTGACTCTGGACTTACGAGACGTACCAAACGCAACGACGTTTGTTCCTTCCCAGATGACGGTACAAAGTTACCAGTGGTCCCGGTACATTCCTCTGGTCGGTCCTTGTATCTCGGAAGTTTATGGCTGGCAATAGGCCTAAGGGAGCTTTATTGTCACCGTCAATCCAAGCGCAACGAACTTCGATTTTTTCCCTATATCTTCTCGATTCCTTTTGTGTTTAAATGAAGTTTTTATATTCTTGGATATGATTATGTTTTGTCTATCGAGTTCAAGAGCGATCCCCGGCAAGCGACGCCGCAGACGTAGGGGGAGATCGGATCTCAACAACGGAGAGGAGAGGCTCCAAGCAAACAGGTCCCGCTTTGTGGTGGACGATGAGGGACTGACAGTGCGCTCCACACGGTCCTGGTCGTCCTCTTCTTCTTGTGCGTCATTCCCTTACAACAACTACGGCAACAGCGCTGACCGCGATGTATTCAAACTTGTCGTAGTTCAAGGAGGAGACGGGGGATCAGGAGAAGGAGGAGAAAGAGGAGAAGGAGAAAAAAGACACAGAGGAGCAGGAGGATCGGGAGAAAGAGGAGTAAGAGGAGAAGGAGAAATAAAACAAAGAGGAGAAAGAGGAGAGGCAGAAGGGCGTAACTACTCTTCTCGCAATGAAGAGGACGAGTTTTACAACGACAAGGATTTCCTTCATCAGCACACTAACGACAGCGCCAGATCTAGTGGGAATCGGGACAGTAGTAGGAGTAGCAACCGCTGCAGTGTGAGCGACGCCGGTTTCGATCGTTGGATGACAAGACACTACACATACAGTAGCTACAACCCCAGCGTCAATGGAATGGGGGAAGACACAGCCACTGTTTCCACTTGCCACAGCTCGGACTATAATCTGACAATGCCTGCTATCACCAACTTCGTTCTCGAAGGATCTAAAGTTCAAGACCCCAAGGTAGAGGAATTGTGTAATTAAATTCAGTGTTGACCGGATGTGTTTGTGCAGGCTTTTGTTCCGTTTACACTAGGAGAGAACTCTTTTGTCATTGAAGGCAATATCTATTGTTGAGGGGATGACAAGTGACAGGCTCCAAGGGGTGAGATTACTCTCAAATAGAAGGAAATAAAGATCGCGAATGAACGGCTGTCTATTGAGAAATCTTTTATAATGAGCGACGTCTTGAAGTTAGTTTGCGATCTTCTAAGGCCCATAGACAACCAAGGGGATAAATCAGCTTCGGACAGATCAGCAGGGGGCAGGAGAGCGGGGGGAAAACCACGTTTCTCATAAAGACTGAGCTTTGGCATAAGAAAAACGAAGATTACATATTATTATGTTTCGTTGTTGTTGTTGTTGTTTTTTATGATAACATGAACTCGTGTCCTTTCTGCGGAGTGCTGTTTCAATAGCGTTGAATAACACTTGACTTGAATTACCTCACTCACACTTTACAGCGACAGCGACTACTACAACAACATCAGTTACAACATCAACATCAACAACTACAACAGCAACAACAACAACAACTGAAAATTTTTAATATGTTCCGCCCGCTCATATGACCTGATGCAGTTGCGTATTACAAAAAAAAAATCAACAAACAAACAAAAACAAATATATATATATACACACACACATAT